CTCTCTCTCTCTCTCTCTCTCTCTCTCTCTCTCTCTCTCTCATGTGTGTGACATGCATTCCATGGCATGCATGTGGAGGTCAGAGGATAATAATATACAGTGATGGGAGTTGGGAGTTGGTTTACACTTTCTACCATGTATGCCCAGGCATGGTTGTACGGCTTGGCAAATACCTTTTACCCACTGAGCCATCTTGTTGGCCCCTGCCCTTTTCATCTTAAACTGCTCATGAAAAGTCTTGGCATTGTCTATACTTTTTTATTTAAACAGCCAATAAGAGCATTCTGTGGTTGTGTTTTATTTTTTAAGGAAATGCAGACATATTGGTAATTTAAAAATATCTTCACAAAAATCAGTCATCAAAAGATAAATTATTCTTTTATTTTTATTTATTTATTTTTTTATTCTTTTATTTGTTTGCCTACATGTATATATGTGGACCACTTGCATGCCTGGTGCCTTTAAAGTCCAGAAGAGGGCATCAGATCCCCTGTAACTAAAGTTACAGATGGTTGTGAGCTGCCACGTGGCTCTCTAGAAGAGCAGCAGGTGCTCTTAACTACTGAGTCATCTCTACAGCCCAAAAGGTAAATTATTTCTAATGATTTTTATTTTTCTTCTATATAAAAAAAGGAGAGACTAAAAATACTAAAACAGTAGCTAGATTTTAGTGTTTACTATTCGTAGACTGTTTCTTTGTTGGGGGGGGTTATCTCTGAGTCAACCTATTTTCTACTTATTAAAAATGTACAGTCATGGGGCTGGAGAGATAGCTCAGCGATTAAAAGCACTGGTTGCTCTTGCAGAGGATCCAGAACCTACACAGCGGGCTAATAATCATCCATAACTCCAGTTCCAGGGGATCCAACACCTTCTTTTGGCCTCTGTGGGGCACTGCACGACACAGGTACAATCACATACATGTAGGTAACACACTCATACACATCAAATATTTTAATTTTAAAAAAGTACAGTCTTTCCGGGCATGGTGGTGCATGCCTTTAATCCCAATCCCAGCATGCACAAGGCAGAGGCAGGCAGATTTCTCTGTGTTCGAGGCCAGCCTGGTCCTCGTAGTTGAGTTCAAGGCCAGCAGGGGCTACATAGTGAGACCCTGTCTCAAACCCCAACCTCTCCCAGAAAATAAATAAAAGTATAATCTTTTTTGAAAAAGACTATAATTTTGCACTGAGTGCTATGAGGCATTTTTATCTATAGTTGGGTAAAATTAGGACAGGGTTGTGTGTGAACGTGTGTGTATACACACTATCCTTTCCCTTAATACCTAAACTCTCAATTTTGAGTCTTATATCAGAAATAATTTTATTTCCATTATATTTCCATCATTTTCTCAGAATAATCATCTATACATTTCTACGAATGTAGATTTCATATTAGAAATTTTCTGCTGGTGCACTGAGGTGTTCTTTTCTTCCACTACTTTTCTTCCCTAGTCCTACTTGGTAACAAGCAGTTAACACAGGAGAGACGGCCCCTCCTCTGCTCTTACAGATCTTTCTGATTATAACTACCAAGGATTTGTCCATCTTATACAAAAGATGGTTCTCTTATTTCGGCCTCCCTACCTTGTTAAATATACTAAGTTTAAATTCCTCGCATATAAAACATATACTGTGTGAAAAGTTTTCAAGGAAAAGAAATGTGAGACTTACATTTGAGGGAATACCTTATTTGTGTTCAGAGAAATATGAGGTCCTAAGTGATGAGGCAGAGTTATCTTCTCTTAAAGGATACTCACCTTATCATTCTCTTCAAGCAGTGTGATGATGCGATTAAGGTCCATAGGCTTGAAAATACCCTAAAACGTACAGCTCGTATTATTCCACAGCATGGGAACTAAGACATAATAATCAAGCACACTATCTCCTGATTCCAACTTAGCACAAATCAGAGAAAGCCAAACAGAAACAGTCAACATAAAATATGCAGTTATGCTTCCCATATCAATCACAAAGGATGTTCAATCTCTGGCCTACCTCCTGCTTCTCCATAGCAAATCACCTCCAATCATCCTAATACCAATTCCTCCTCTCCCCTCAATCTAAACGTTCTGTGCTGGCCTTGGAGTCTCTGCCAAAAGCAAGTAATGACTTCTTCCTCACAGTGAGTTTTAAATAGTCTCTAATTAGGGTGGTCTTTATTTCCACAAGATTTAACCATAAGAATGCACTAATAAATTGATCACTTTGCTGTGTGGTGACCAAAGTAGAGAGGACTACACTGGAGGTAGGAAATCAGAGTGTAACCTCAGCAACTTCTATTCCAGAGGACCCAATGACCTTGGCTGGCCACCTTGGGCACCAGACATACACATGGTTGCAGACATGCACGGATGCACAAAACTCATACACACAAAATTAAAATAAATAAATTAATAATAATAATACAATTCCAGAGATACCATGAGTTTTAAGGCCAAAATAATAATGTAAACTTTAGCTGTTCCCTGGATAAGACATAATGGTGATGAAAATTGCCTATTTTCAATATATAAGGTACTATTAAGCTTTCTATGTGCATTATTTGCTTAAGCTATACAAATAATTTTTACATTTAATCTTTTAAAAATTATTTTTTACTTTTTGGGGAGTGCATGTGAAAGTCAGAGGGCTACTTGAAGGAGTTGGTTCTCTCCTTCCACTCTGAGGGTTGCAGGGATCAAAGTCAGGTTCCCTAGTGCCCTTACCTTCTGAGCCATCACCCCTGCCCTACATTTAATCTTAATAGAAGGGACACCTTACTATTATCAGCTCCATTATTATTGCCACTGATGAAGGATACTTGCTTTTGACCTCACAGCTGGTATGAGTGGCTTCACCTCACTTTTAGTTGTCTTTCAAGTTGGAGTGATTTGAAAGGACTGGAAACATTTAACGTACCAAAGCTCTTTCTCTACTGACTTGAACGAGGTCTAAAAGGTTATCATTTTAAATACTACTAGGAACACTAGACCCCACAGTGATTAAAGAAACTGTATAACTGCAGCTAATTCCTTATGGAATTAAAGTTCCTTATTTATATAAGGAAGTGCGTACACACACACACACACACACACACCCCACCGCACACACATGGATGGATAATCACTGAGATGTATCTTAATTCTAAAATGTTCTCTATTTTATTTATATTGTTAGGAACTTTTTTCCCATCAGTAGTTTCTTAAAAAAAAAAAAAAAAATGCTCCTAGAAGTAGAACCAGGAGTATGAATTAATGCAAATTGATTTCCTTTTCCTGGAAGAGAATCCTAGGCCCTTGAAGGAGGTATAGTAATGTAAGAATAATGGAAAGGAAAGAACAGGTAGAGAAGAGAGATACACAAACAAGTATTGCTGTTACTTCCTGTGTTATGGGCTTTTTTGTAACGACCTGTTAAAAATATTCTTCTCTTTGTTTGTTCTCTATGTCTACTTAGTGTAATATTTTCCCAAATAAAAGAACGAGAGCCAAACTCACCTACTTCTCAGTTTTGTGCTGCACCTATTGTAGCGGTAGTGCTGAGATTCCTTGCAGCTTTGGGAAGTGGAGAGCTGTGAAAGTTCACTCCACTTGGGCTGGAATGCCTCTACAAAACTGATTAGGCAAATTCCCCTGACGTCTACTCTTCAGGCAAACGTGCTGTTGCTCTGCAGGCTATTGCGTAAATGGGTGACTGTCCTCGGGGACCTCAATCCTATTCCCGCAGAAGAGGTCCCCAGTCAACTGGCCCCTCCCACAGAGCTCTCCAAGGCTCCAGGATATGAACGCAGGAGACAGAGTTCCTGACGCAGCTTGAGACTTTCGAAGCCTCAGCAGGAATTCCCATAGTGGCCCCTACACCATTGGTGCGGGCCAGGGCAGGATTTCTCTTTAGAATGAACGCAGATCCAGAAGAGGTTCCTCAACCCAACTTGAAAGAGTTTTGTATTTATAACAAAAACAAACCCCAAACCAGATATAAACACTATAAAGAAAAACCCTTTTCTTTTCAACTTTTCAACAACATCTGCTTCCTACCGAATGCAAGCTTTAGTAGCAGGGAATTTTAACATGGGGGGGGGGGGGGCTCTTTCTAACAGAGATCTACAGATAAAATCCCAGCGCAGGGATCTGGTTATCAAATCAAAAGTCTCTAGGAATTATTCCTTCCCTTCGCAGCAGCAAAGCCTAGACCACCCAGTTTAGCCACGTACTCCGCGCAGAGCAGGAGGCGGCGGTCCCCAGACTCGTAGGCTGACGCCAGCCAGCCCCCTCGCCAGAGGCGCTGCCCCCTGTGGACCGCTCGGCTCCCGGGACTTCCGGGCCGCAGGCTCCCGGGTCTCTACTCGGGTCAGCATTTCCACCAGGCTTCCCCGGAGCCTAGCCCCTGGCCCCAGGCCTCGCCCACTGCCTCGCCTCAGCCGCAGACCTCCGCCATACCTGTATCTCTTCATCCGGGCTCACCACCCCGATCACCGGGATTGGTCGGGGACTGATGGATTTGTTCCTGCAGGCCGGCTCGGGGGCGTCGGTGGTGGCCACGGCCTCCGCTGAGGACATGGCTGAGGGTTGCGACCCGGGGTCTTAGTGTGCCCGCTGCCGCAGAGCCCAGGAACCCCGCTTCGCAACGCCGAGGGCGGCCTGAGAGCCACTAGGGCCGCGAAAGGTCCCGAGGGTCCGTGCGTGGCCCGGGCCCCCGCGACGCAGCGGACATCATGCTGCAGCCGCCCACCCGCGACCAGGACGCCCGTGAGCGGTCCAGTTGTTAACACAAACCCAAACGTTGCTAGGGGCGGGGCCTACGGAAACCTGGAGAGCCAAACTTTCTCAAAGCGTCTGTGGATGAATGGTCTGCTGGGAGACGAGTGACAGAGACCTCAGCCTGGAGCGGTACCTTCCCATGGAATATTTCCGTCCTGTTGCACCGGGCCTTGCTTGATAGTGGCCCATGTGGGGCGGAGGAGAGGATGCATTCAGAGGGGATATGATGGGCATACTGTTGAAAGCCGGGTTTACCTTTCTCCAGAGGCAGGACCAATGTAACCTAAATTCCCAAGTTTTTACTTCTGTAATTTGGGGTTTAAGTGAACACTGAAGCAACCAAGGTATCAGTATTTAAAAGCTTTCAGGTGCTCGCCTAGAATGCTTGGGGTCCTGCTGCTGGATGTTCAGCAGAGCGTGGAGTGGGACGTTGTGTGTCAAATATGAGACTAGATCAACTTCACTCTTTGAAGCACCACTCTTTTCTTCTGTAAAACAGAATTCTTTCCAGGACTGAATGAAATGATGGCGTTCGATGGTGCTTGGCAAATAATAAGTACAAGATTATATCACATTTACTACTGCATCATCTATCCGTTGTACCCTGAATAAAGATGTAAAGGATCAAGACCTGATTGGGTTATAGCAACGATGATCATTACTCTTTGAAAACTTTATTTTTGAGATAAATGCCTCACTGAGATTTGCCTGCCTCAGCCTCCCGAGCGCTGGGATTAAAGGTGCATGTCACCACGCTTAGCCAACCCTCTCCACCTTCCATATGTTTGCGTGTGATGTGTGGGTCTGTTTGCATGTGTATGGGAGCACTTGTGGTGCCTGTTTGTGCCAGTGCCTGTAGAAGTCTGAGGCTGATACCGGGATTTTCCTGGATTGCTCTTCCACTTTATTCATTGAGGTAGGTCTCTCAACCAAGCCCAGAGCACTTTTATAACTATTAATCTCACTACCCAGCTTGCTTCGGGATTCTATTTCTCCATCTTCCACGCCCACCCGACATTTATGTTGGTTAGAAGTTTGGAATTCCCATCCTCTTGCTTGCCCTCTTGCTTGCAAACAAGCACTTTAAACCAAAGTGCTTTCTCCCTAGGATCCTTTAGCCCTTTTGATGTTTGATTGATTGAAGCAGGGTTTCACTATGTAGCCCTGACTGGCCTAAAACTCTAACTCACAGAGTTTGGCCTGACCCAGCCTCTGGAGTCCTGGGATTAAAGGCATGCACCATCATGTGTTAATGGGTTTTTAAAAAATTATTATTATATGTATATTGGGGGAGGGGTGCATGTGCTGGTGTGAATGCAGGTGCTGAAGCCTCCTGGAACTGGACTTGCAGTAACAGTTGTGAGCCGCCAGAAGTGGGTTGCTGGGTATTGAATTCTGGTCCTCTGGAAACGCAGTACACTGTTGTTTCGGCAACAAGGTAAAACTGGTAAGGGTATTTAAACGCCAGTGACTCTGAAAAGTCCGACTCTTCTCACTGGACCTAACTGTAGAAACTTGACGAATGGACAGTGAGAGATTAATGTTAACCAACTGTGTACAGACCTGTGTTCTGAATGCTAGAAGTCAAGGTTTTGGGCAAGATTGTTTTCTTCTTGGCTTGCTGTTTTCTCTCTTTTCTTCATATGGTCTTTCCTCTGTCCATGTCTATATTCTAATTTCCCAGGGATGCCAGTCATACTGGATTAAGGCCCACCAATCTCCAAGTAGAGTTACATTCTGAGTAGAGGGGGTTAGGATTTCAACAAATGAATTTTGGAAGACACAATTCAGTTCAGTAGATCCCATCATCCTTTAGGTTATAATCTGAATTCTTATAAACCATAGATTCAAGAATACACTATGCCTAATTAAGGCAATACTAAAATTCCCACCCATAAAACATGTAGTGACCAAATGCTGACCTGATATAATAATCTTCCACTGTACCTTTAATCGGTGTGAATCTGTCCTCAGACCTTTCAACAAATCTGGATTTTGATCTTTCAGGATCCTGTGTCTAAAGTTGCCCAAAATAATTTATTTCCTGCTTCATTCTCCATTCAACAGTTTCACCTGTGCTAATCTGTTTCCTGACCCTTCCATAAACATACAACAATCAATACTTTGTTAGGGAATGTGATCCCTGGGGAGCAGAAGGGGAAAATGAAGGTAAGGCAGTAGAGATAAGGACAGAAAAAACAGATGTTACTGAACAAGTCATGGCTTCCAAACAAGTGCAGTTAATTGCTTGACTTTATATGATATTGCCAGGTCTGCTGAATTGCACTTAACAATCCACCTGGGGGAAATGAAGGAAGAGTGCATTGCTTCACTCCATCTTGTGCTGAATCTCCTTGGTTAAAAGTTCACCCTTCAATAGGTTTGACAGATTAATCAAAAAAGAAAAAAAGCAAAGGAAAAAAGGTCATGTAATACTTGTTTAAAATACCTAAGTAAAAAGTTATTTATTGTTATCATCTGCGATTCCAATTTAACTGAGAATCCTATGTTTTATCTGGCAGCCCAGCTGTCAGGACTCATAGTCAAGCATCTTCATGCAGATCCTCAGAGGTCAATTTCTCCCTCTCTGCTGCATGTGGGACTCAACATAAGCTAGTGTGGCAGTGACAGTGGCAGCAGCACAGGCGTCTTCTCTAGGAGGACAGGGCAGCTCCAGGCCACTGGCCAGGAGGCAAGCCATGAAGTGGGGGCAGTGGTGGGGAGGGATGTGTGGTTGAAGCAGGAGGAAGTAGGCATAAAAGAGATGAAGAGCATAATTTGCTGTAAAAACGAGTCATGTCTCTTTAGTACCTACTGTACATATTGTACTAGATGCTGGTGACTTAGCAATGGCTAACACAACATCCTTGCTACCAGGGAACTTATAGCTTAAATGCTTAATGAAATAATTTTAAGAGTCTCACCTCATTAAATGGCTACTTTGGTAAAAACAAAACAAGCACGCCCCCATCCCCCAACAAAGCTATCGCTTGAATTGCTTTCTGGATGCTTCTAAAATGAAATACAGACATATTAGATAACCTCCACCAAATATTTGTATTATTCAGTAAGATAGAAAAGTCCATTTGTGGGGGCTGGAAAAATGGTTTGGTAACTAAGAGCACTGGCTGCTCTTGCAGAGGACCTGGGTTTAATTCCCAGCACCAATGTGGCAGCTAACAACCATCCATAACTCTAGTTCCAGGGGATCCATCTACCTCTTCTGGGCTCTAGGGGCATTGCATGCAGGGTTGCACTTAACGTAAATGCATGCAAAACACTCATAAAATAAAAATAAATTAAAAAAATAATTAAATTATTAAAAAAGAAAAATCCATTTCAAAAGATGAAACATTACTTTTTATTGAAATGTTTATAAGCAGATCTATGAGAATGATATAAAAACATGGCATGTAATTTGTTAGCAATATTTTTCAGATTACAGAGCTTTAGCAAAAATGTATTAAACAATTACAAAGAAAAATTGTTCAAGTTTTGTACAAATTTGTACAAAGAAAATTGTACAAGCTAATATAAAATACCTAATGAAAGATGAAGGCAAAAATTAGCATAATTATCTAACAATAGAAAATTAATTTCAATGTGAATTGCATATTATCCTTTAAATGCTGTTAAAAGTAAGAATTATTGCAGTCTAACTTATTCAACAGGGTTAAATTGGTATGATGACAAAAAAACTAGAAAGGATTAGTTTAGACTTCATGAAACACAGACCTTCACATTGAAAATGGTTTAAAGTCAAGAAAAAGCATTAGACTTAGAGGGCCTTAGAGGAGTTATCAGCTCCAGTAATCTCTAATCTCCTTTCCTTGGAGTATGGCCTTGACCCTCTGGGGACAGTTGTTTATCTACAACCTCAGCAGCAAGATGGTGTGCTGATGAACACTGGCTGCTCTTCTTGGAGTAACCACTGGCCAGCTCTCAGTCACACTGACAGCTCTTAGACACATGAACACCTGTACACTGCAACCTCAGCAGCTCCAGTAAGGTGAGCAGGCCATGAGGGATACTGTCCAGTGCCTGTTCCCACTGAGCACCTGACAGCTATGGAGAACATTTAAAGATCTGAGAGAATAATTCTTTAAAGTTGGCAATTTGGAAATCACACAGAAGCACACGCTTATGCGTCTGTGAATTAATTTAAATACTGGGAGAGTCCCTACAGCTACTGGGAAAATTCCTGTAGTCTGCTTTAATTGCAGATGAATGCATGATGGAAATTTAGTGGTTTGCAAAGTTAAGTAATGCACCACATAAAAGACAGCAAAGAAGCCAGGTGTGGTGGTGCACGCCTTTAATCCCAGCACTCCGAAGGCAGAGGCAGGTGGATCTCTGTGAGTTCAAGGCCAGCCTGGTCTACATAGTGAGTTCCAGGATAGCTGGGGCTACAAGGAGACCCTGTCAAAAAAAAAAAAAAAAAAAAAAAAAAAAAAAAAAAAATCAGCCAGGCATGATGGGACATGCCTTTAATCCCAGCACTGGGAAGGCAGAGGCAGGCTGATCTCTGTGAGTTCCAGGCAAGCCAAGGCTACACAGTGAGACCCTGTCTCAAAAATAAAAATAAAACACTTTTAATATCATATGGATAGAATCTCTGAAATTTAAGCACTTTATCATTTTGTCACACTAAAATATTGAAGAACCTGTTCATTCCTGTAATATTCACTGTTCAAAGAAAAAAAAAACCAATTATTTCCACTAAAATTATTACAGTTTCATTTGGGGTTAATTATATAGACTGAAAATATGCCAGAATTTGTCCTACTGAATTATGAGCTATTGAGGGCTGAACATTTCATTTTCATGAGAACACATCACAATATGACCTTAACACTGGGTGGAGGTGTGTTGGCTTACACAGCACTACATTGTCATGAATTTAGAAAACAATTTCTATTACAATATTTTAGTCTGTTATTTCAAAACTGGACTTTATAGATGGATGCAGGTTTAATTAGTTAATTGTTCACAGTATTCCTAAAGAATTTATGGTTCTTTTATTTTAAATGTCACATAAAATACCTAAAATTCATAAATCTTTTTTGGAGGGGAAAGTATAGAATTTATTTTGAAACAGTTTTAATGACAAAAGACAATTTAAAAGGAGACTTTTGTCACATTGCATAATGAGTAAATAATGTAAAGTTGAATATATTCTGAAGCCCTTTTACAGGAATAATTTTCATAATTTGAAAGTAGGAAGATATTTTAATTTATTATCAAATTAATTTTGAAAATAAAATTCTTTAGTCAATTTGAAGTTATGCTAATTTACAGGCTATTGATCAGGCAGTTTTAACTCTTTAACCACCCTCTATGTTGCACAAAATAATTAGTTCTG